AATATTTATGAAGTGTTTTAATTTTAAAATTTATTTTAAGTTCCCAGAGAAATCATTATGAAGTTGCTGTAGACGTTATTATTGCTATAACTGAGAGGAACAATACTGTGTTCTATAATCTACACAAATGCTAATATTGTTTTGTTTCTTAACAGTACTTATGTGCTTTATAAAATGTTGTGTATTGTTCTCTGTGTCCTCCGATCCATGGTAACTTTATAATGATATAAAACATTGACATTCGGGGATTGGTTTTTACTGTCTTCTTTCATACAGACTTCCATAGAGGATTTGCTAATGGTATATGTGTGTGTTTGAATTAAACCCTTTAATGCTAGGGGAGGAGATCAGTTTGACGTGGAATTCAACTGCTGTTGTTTCTGTAAGGAGAAAAGGCCTGCTGGTTTTAAGTGTCTTTGAGTATATCTGGTTGACTGAACAGTTTCCTCAAGGAAGTATTCATTCAGTCAATGTCCTGAAGGGTTAAGAAAACAGAAACCCATGGTCTTAGTGAGTTGTTGTTATGTACGTTGCCAAGGGAACTGTAGCTGGAATGTTTAAATGTGTTGTTTCTCCCCAGACCCACAGGAGTGGAGCTTGAGTGCCTTGGTGTGCCCTAATCCTCTCAATTAGTTTCTGTGTGGTGGGGGGCTTATGAGGCTGAATCAGACTAAATACTTGTTAGTGACACTAGGTAACATTCCCACCATGCTGGATGGAGTGAGTTTATCATCATGCTCATCGCTCATGAGAATTACAACCAAAAGCAGAAAAGGGAGTATATTGCTCTTATTGCTTCTCCCTGGACCCCAGGGACTTCTTTTAGTAATGTATATTATAGAAATTAATGATACCAAGGAGCTCTCCGTAATACTTAGGTAAGAGAAATCATGAAGTTCATAGATCTTGACTCACATCTTTAGTATCTGTTTTGTTTTGCCTTACATGCCATTTAACTTGCTTCACTGGTGTAAAGCTGGAAGAACTGCTGTTGAAAATTACTGTATCAACAGTGGAGGTAAATTTTAGCCTTGTTTACATATAAAGGGTCTTGCATTATGACAGGTTAGTCTGCAGAAAGTAATCGAGCACTCCTTATTGCCAGATCAATTACTGTAAGAAAAATACCCAAATGCATGTATCTGTAGAGGTTGACTGTGCCCTAGATCTTTCCAGAAGCTGGGAACAACCCTCCTTTTATTGTGCCATCACTCTCAAATGTTGGGCCTGTTCTTCCACCACGCTTTTTTCATGAGTTGTTGTCAGCACCCAGTTGGGTCAAAACTACCTGAGCAGCACTCAATCCCTTGTTGAGTCAAACATTTTTCCAAGCACAAACTGACCCACACTTTGACTGATTTATGTATTTCTTCTGGTATGTGGGAGGATTTGCATACAGGGGAATGTTTTCACTTTTGTACTTGTACCTCCTTCTATCACTCAACACACAGTTTTTAATACAGTCCCAGATAATTCTGTCTTAATATACTTTGAGCCAAGTCTTGTTACAATGGACATGGAAAACACAGATTACCTTCTCCTTACAGTTGCCTGTCAGGCACTGGAAAGCTCAGTGCTTTCCCAAGGCATGGTTTCTAAACACCTGATAATTCTTGTTGCCTTTTATGGCTCCTAAGCAGGACCCACATCTTGAGCTATGGCTCCTGAAGCAGATGAAAGTCTCTATCTTATCAATGTTGGGCAGATTACACACATTTTACCCATGAAAGTCCTGTGCATGTGTCCTGCTGTGAAATTTCCTTTTTTGTTTCTGTCTCAGTATGACACCATTGATCAACAGGCCTTTCTTTCTACACCCAGATCAAACACTGAGCTTACTCTTCATCAGGTCCTGGGGTCCTCATCCTCCAGTTGTCCAGACTGAAAGTCATCTGAACTACAAAACAGTGAGGGAGACTGATTCACACTTGGGTGTTCTACAGGTAGTGATTCCAAAACTTTTTTCAAGCTCTTAGATTTATAAAAGTTAGGAAACCAGATGATACTAATATAGTGATAGTAAAATCCTGGAGAGTCAAAGCTTCCATCAGTGGTCAGAGGCCAAATGTCCTATTTCCACTATGATCAGAATGAGCTCTGTGATGCTGACAGCACACATTTCCCAACTGTGATGAATCTGATGATTTAAAATAAAAGAACTAAGAAATAAAAGCCAAATATTGATCAAAGATCTATGTCTCTTTTACTCCATGTCTTTTGGGATCATGATGCAAAGAAGGGCAACTCACAGTTTTTGTTTTTTTCTACAACCTATTTTTGTAATTTCTGAAGCTCCTGCACAAGTTAGTGTGACTACACATTTCTGCACAGTCCTGAAAGCTTAATGTAGGGCTGGACTGAACTGCATTGGCAGGAGCTGAACATGGCTTGACTGCAATCTGCTTGGCTCAGGTTTGTACTTCAACACCCAGATTCATTTACGTTTTTATTTAAAATAGTCTCTTAGAAGTCTTTTTAGGTATCTCAGGTCTTGTAAACTGAATGCAAAACAGAAGCTATGATATGAGCTGAGTCCACTATGTAAAAGACAAAGAACCTATAAAAAACCCTATAAAAAGCAGTATAACCAAAGCCCTGCACTCCTCAGAGGAGTTAATCCTGCAATAGGTGCTAAAATCCAGAGCCTTAACAATGGGGTGCCCCTTACATTTTTCTCTTGCCATTTGCAACCAGAAGGTGAGGATGAGCAAAAGTCTGCTTTTTCTTTTTATTAGGTGCAGGAAACTTTTGTTTTGGCAGCGCTTCTTTTTGTCATTCACAAAGTTTGTTTTTCTCTTGATTTTTTTGGGGAGCTTTTCTATTTCCTGTCAGAGTGTGGAGGAGAAAGCTGTTCTCCTTACTGCACCCCTTACAGTGCCCCTCAGCTACACAGCACAAGGAAAAGAGAAACAGAATCCATGGCATCGTGCAGAAATGCTGCACTATATAGTTTGCCCTGGTTAAACATTCCCAGAAAGGGAATAACACAACGCTGTGGAGCTCCTAAATGTCTTTTGGCCCTTGTGCTGCAGAGACACTGGCATTTAGGATTAAACGGGAACAGCACTGGTTTCTGGGCAAATTGGTTTTCAGATTCGAACTACACAGATCAGAATTATTTCCTGTTGGTATTACTACAACCCTATCTCCTCCATACCTGAAATAAGTGGCATCTGGAGCCTTGAAAAACAATACTCAACAGCTGTGGGAGAATTTAATTTGATTTAGACACATGCTCCAATCTTCAGCCACCTTTTTTGATCTCTCTCCAAACTGCTCAAAGTATGTATACAAAATAATGCTGAAAGTCTTGTATGTGAAGATTTTTTTGTTTGTAATTCTGTCCTTGTTTTGCCTTGTTTTCTTGACATCAAGGGAGATGTCAAACTGGAAAAGAAAAAAATACTTATTTAATTGTATTTTTCAAACCCTACAAGAGGCAAGAGTTGCGTTTTTGGATCGAGTTTGGGGTGGTCTCACTTTCTCCTCAGCACTTATCTTGTAATTCATGTTATCTTGCTCTAAAATGTTTTGGTGAAGGAACCTGTGCATTGAATCTAGTCAGCTCCTTATAACTACTGGGGTTTTCTGAACTCTACTTCGGTGCATTCACGGCTAGTGGTGCCTAACGACAGAACGGATCAAACCACTAGATCTAAATAGCAGCTTACATGAAATTTGAATGTGCATCTGTAGTTTGTGAATCTCGTGTCAGCTGCTTTTTCTTTGCTGCTAGTATTTGAACCTTGCACATTCCTATGCTTTAAAGATGCACCTTCAAGATCAAACACTTTATCTGTTTGTAGTTGTGCTTGTCCTTAAAGCATCATGTAGTCTTTAGAGCTGCAAGGACTATTCAAAACTAACATGCCTATGAGAGGCAAAGTGTGTGCAAAATGCTGGATGGCAGAGCAGGTTCTGGTTGTGCTCAAAGTCAACTGCAAGTGGGAGACAACAGGATTTTAATAATGTAAACAAGAAAAAAAAAAGCCCTATCCATTAAAAGTGCACATTGGAATTACATGGTAGCTGAGAACAGGTTTCCACAGCAAATGTACTATTATGTAACAGAAAAGCCCTTTCTGATTTATAAGCAAGATTATTGTAAACTATAAATTTTGGTTTATCTGCTGTTCTGCCTATTAATAACTTTCCATTATGTTCAATTAATTAGTTATTGGAAAAACACCGAGACCAGCATCCGTACAACAAATCAAACCTTTCAGCACAGTCCAGTACTGGGGATGCTGTCATACATCTGCCTTTTCTGCCAGGCTGTACTGTGTGGAACAACAACAACAACCACAACCCCAGAAGAACCCATGGCCTTTGATTAGCCCTTGCATTTTTACACTAGGATTTGTTCAGTTGATGTAAAATGGTAACTCAGGCAGTCCAAGTCAACACTACAGGGGGCCTCTATAGGGGGAAACACAGCCCCTAAACATGCTTCCCAGAGTCCCCCTGTCAGGTTTCAAGAATGCAGTTTTAACCATCCCTAAGATGAACCCCCCACCAACTTTTACAGAGGCCACCCTCTGCTCACAAAACCTAGTCCCTTCCCTGCAGGCATTCAGGACCCTTTGAAATGGAAAATTTATGCTGTACTGAAATAGTTCATACTATAATAAACAACTAGTGCCATCATTCTGCTGGTATTCAGAGCACAATTAAACGTGAACCTCATGTGAGGACTCCATTTGGGGTGGAAGATGGTGCTGTGGGGAGGACAGGCAGCTCACCCTCAGAGAGTCTTGCCTAGTGCAGCAGGTTTTACTGCTTGTCCTCCCCACCCCTTCAACCCCCTGAACAGCCTCGTTCTCCCTCCCCACATTTACTTGAGGCATAGAGGCTTATGGGGGATTATATAACTTATAGGTCAATTTGTTGTTTGGGCAGAAGAATGTGGTATGTTGGCTGAGGCTGTTTGTTTGCTTAAGTTCTCAGAGTTCAGTGAGGTCATTTTCTCATCTTCCCTGTGTTTTCTGTATTTTCCACAGACCTGCCAGCCTCAAACAACACCCTCTTTCTTCACATTAGAAATGGAAACACGTCCTCTGCAGGAATTTTCCACTTAATAGCTCCTGCTTTCCTACCGGGGGCCTCAGTGCACCACCACTGCAATGCTGTATTTCTTTCCACTGCAGTTTGACATTTTGCAGCCAGAACAACGAACGGCATTCACTCCATCCTGATTTTTGAAAAACATATCTCTATAGGCCCACAGAACGCACCCAGTGCAGCAATCACCAGGGGGAAATGGCAAAGGTATTTAAACATCATTACATGTCACTGAGGATATGACATTGTCTGGTAATAATGCTCTTTTATGCAGTCGTTTTTTCTTAGTCCCCCATTCCTCCCCCCTCCAACCCTTTATACACACAGGCAGACACCAAAGCCTCTGCCCTGCTCTCCTATTACCAGCCACTCTCATGTTCTACACTTGATTGCAATTGTTTGCCGTTGTGAATTATTTCCTTTGCATGGTATTTGCAAACTGTGTATCAGGTCCTGACACCGTGAAGAGCAGAAATGCAGATTGCAGATAATCTGAGCAGTAAACAAGAAGCCTGCTTTAAAATGCGCTGAGTGACCTGTCTGAAAGCAGCAATATTTGCAGACTGTTTACTGCTGAGATGCAGGGATGTCGCTGAAATGCAGCAGCCTGAAGACTGGAGCAAAATGGGATCTCAGACACTCGGTCAAGCACAACATGTAATTTTTTTATTTGTTGCTTACATTGTGCTTTTTCTAAATTTGGAGCAGTATTATAAATTATTAAAAGCTAATTTCCAAAAATCCCTTTGCTGTGTTTATGAAATATTTTTTAATCCCTTTACAGGAAGCTAAATGGATGGAAATAAACATGTTTATTGCTAGAAGGAAGGTTTCCCCTGTCTGCGCAATGGTAGAGTCTCAGACAGCAAGGTCCCAGTAGGTCAGACTGGCACATTGAATTGCGTATCAAATGAAACTGGTATTCTGGAAAAAGGGTGGAAAGAGGAAGAGGGGTGTTAGTGAGGAGGTTGCTCAGGCCAGGAGGGTGGGCCACTGAAAAACAACAAGGAAAAAAATAGGATTGATGATTTGCGGGACACCTAGGGTATTTCTTTCAGGGGGTATTACTTCCACTTTTAACCAGGAACAAGAGCTGGAAGAAAAAAAAGCGGCGGGAGCTGACAGCTTTGTGCTGATCAAAGGGACGTAGCATTGAATGCCTTCTTTTGCTAGCTATTTATTAGAGAGAGAGAAGGGCTCCTTTGCCATTCTACTTGGGAGAGAAGGGATTAAAGATCAAAAAAAAAAGGAGGGGGACCGGCAGGACTTCTTTGTTCAGAAAATATTTCTCTCTCTCTTTTTTTTTTTCTTAATGGTATGCCGTGCTGTCCACTACAAGACAAAAAACACCCTTTCTTTTTATATCATTGCTCCTTTTCTTTTCTCAATGAGGAAAATTTCTGGTGATAAACAATTCCAGTATTGGGTTTTTTTTTTTCTTAATGTAAAGAAGGCCCCCTTTGGGAAACTTAGTTAACTGTCTTTTAGCCTGATTAACCTAGGAAATAAAGCTTAAATGCACTGCTGGGATTCTATTAGGATCATCAGTTCATACAGATAACAGCAAAAGGTGTTAAAATGCACTTCGCTGGTGCAAGTGATCTCATGTTGTAAAAATTATCCCCAGCAGAACAGGGAAGGATTAAGGGGCCATGTCTACATCTGGGAAACTCCATAAGTGTTTTACTAGCATTAATACATGTATTAATCACACACATATACAAAAAAGGCCCGTCAGGATGGTGGCAAATGACACAGTGCATTAAACCTACTCTCTTAAGTCGGTGAAATGTGAGCGTCTTTATTCCTAGAATTGCAATAAAGCTGTTAAGCAGTATGAATGCAGCTGGGGAAAGCCTGCTTGTGTGATTGTGGATCACTGTGGATTACCTGTCTTGTAAAAAGAGAGACTGCTACCAAAACAAGACACTCCCATTGCAGAGACTTTGAAGAAATCTGGGGTAAATTCAGTATTCTGGCCCCAAATCAGCTGACCTACCCACATACATACTGCGTATGTATTTGATCACGGTGACCTTACCACTCATTTATATTCTGATTTCTGTTCAGTGGATCAGAAGGAGAAAATCTAACTGCACCCCATGCTTCTGTTCCCTCCTTTGCTCCTTATTTCAGGTTGCTGCTTCCCAGCACAAGTGAGAGTCAGGTTAAATGGCTGTGCAAGCAGGGCTGAGGTAGACACTGATAAAAACAAATGCTGTTGATCAGACATGTGAATAATTCAGCAGATGAATAGAGTGGAGTTTGACACAAGCAGCATTTTCCGCCTTCATTCCATTTCCATTTGCAGCCCCTAAATTTTGTTTCAGCTTGAGAGCAACCAGAAATAAAAAATGAAACATGGCCAAATACGTGACCAGCTTTTTATAAGGTCTATTACCAGCATTAGGCCAGCAAAACAAATAAATGGTGACAATCTTTAGGGTCCTTTTTGACTCTAGCCTTTACCACCACTGAAACAAATCTAAGTCCTTTAGATCAGGAATGCAACTCTTGGAAAAAACAGAAGTGCTCATATTTGTTCTGTAGTCTCCTTGCATCTATACTGTGTTTGTTGGCAATCACCACACTAGAGCAGCATCTAGGAATGTCTTGATAAAAACTACTTTAGCACCGTGATAGATGTGATAGTGAGACATATTATTGACTTCATTGCTAAAAATATTATAGTTATACATGTTCAAATCATGTCAAGCAGTTGCCTCTTTCATTCCAGTATTAAACACTTCTCTTTCAGTGGATATTTGGAATATTGTATATGTCTATCACCACAGCAATGACATTTGTTATTTTGTTCATCAAAATGTCACCTGCCTATCAAGATATCTAGGATAAGTAGGACTGAGAAACTTGGTTGAATCATCATGCACAGGCTTTTTTCTGCCAGCAGATGTATTACAAGAGACACTTACATTGATGTGAAATAGCAACAGAAGTCATCTTTCCTGTCTGTAAAGCTAAAGGAATTAACATTTACCTTACAAGGATACTTTAGTGGTTCCTTCACACCATTAAGGGGCTGGATGGACTATTAAACCAGTCAGTTCCTGATAATGAAGGATTGTTCTTAGAGTAACTAGTACTGCAAAGAACTTTAAGAAGGAAGAGGACTCTGTAAATGCTAAGCACTGTAAGTGCCATAGTATTTTGAGCAAGTTAACTGGATACTTGGCTGCCCTCAAAGCCTGAAGAAAAGCTTAAACGAGGGCCTAGTAAGTCACCGGGTGTAGTAAGTCACCGGGTGACAAAAGAGACAGGAAATAGGGGTGCTAGAAAAGCTGAAAGCAACTTCTAAACAGGGAGGCAAAGAAGAAATGAAACACTAAGCCCACAAAAATACAGTGAGTTTTTTAGAAGTGACACCATTAGGACAAATGATCAACACTGTTTCAAATATACTGAATTTCTCCACCCATCTCTGAGTAGATCTTAAGTACCCTTCACCACCTTGGAGCCCGATTTCAAGCCAAAATGTCTGTGTTAACTAGTTTTGCAAGTGCTACCACTAATTGAAACCACATAATGTTGCAGATATGAAATAAGACAGGCAGGGCATCCCTGCTGAAAAGCTACCCAGCAGGACAACCCCTTTGTTCTCTTGTAAAATAAACTGATTCAAGGGAAATGTTGTCTAAATCATTGCTTCTAAATGTATACAGAATTTCCTCCGTGCTCCTCCCATTTTTCTGATTAGCTATCAAAGGACTTTATTATTCTTGTAAATTACAATAATGGTTGTAATATGCATACTTGTCATTTCTAGGTGTATAAATTTTGCTTTTGCAGGGATTTTACATTGCAAATATTATGATCACCTGTGGGTAGGGTAGTTAATTAGCAGTCCAGGTCCTATTTCATTTAATTTATACCGGAGTAATCTAAACTAGGAGAATGATCACAGCCACACTCAGTAATTTAACTCCCTCCTTTCAAAGCTGTTTTATTAATTGTATTTTAGTTGTATGTTTTCAGGAAGCTTTTATGGTGCTTGCTTTCCTGAGCCATGTGATCTCCCTCTGTTCTCAGCTCCCCTCAACCCAGGTTATTTGTCCTTCTGGGCAGTGTTGGCTGCATTCCATTGAGAAATTAGAAAGGATGCAGCTGTCATTATTTTGTCAATCATAAAATCTGAGACATGGAAAAAGTCTTAGGAAAGCAGGGGAGTCATGTAACTTCTATTGAGAAAACACATTATTCCACAATACTTTCAACAGTGCTTTCACTTGACCTAAAAGGGAAGGGTGAACTTTTATGATCAAGGCTTGGATTTCCCAGTGGATCACTGCGATGTGTGAACATAAACATCACTTTATATGTGGTTTGAAAATTCACAAAAGCCACCCTCAGCACTTCTTGGGGAATAACTTATTATATAACTCCATTTTGAGCCTCATCATCACTAAAAATGTTGGTGCTACAACAATCATTTAGCTACATACATTAATGCCAGTGGAATAGACAATATTCCTGTAGCCCAGACCAAAAGCATCCAAATTAAAGCTTATTCCTTGTCACTGTGAATGGAAAAACAATAGCATAAAACCAGTAACGTGCATATAAGTTGTTCACTTGCATTTTGGAAATGAAGGCCTACTTCCCTGTGTGCCCCTTTTAAATTGATCCTAAAGTGACTTTGAGATTTAGGAAAACTGACAGGGATGTAAGGGATTGAAAAAATCCTATTTTTGCTTTTCTCTCTGAATAGTTAGAAGAAAAATAATTTCATTGTAATTACAAGATTCCACAGAAAGATTGTGCAGTTTTGCTGCTGAAATTTTGATTGCAAAGTAGCAGACAAATAGGTTAAGGCCTGCTTTTAACTACTGTAAAAGAGCTGGCCTTTGGTGATGCCATTAGTATTCCCAGTTAACCATATTCTTATCACACATGCATTACAATTTAAAATGAAATAACTTCATAAATTCCTACAGTTTCTGTATGTCTGCTACAGATTATACACCAAAGATCAAAGTTCTAACATCTGTTCATGCTGGAAAATATCTTTTGCATGTGTATTTTCTTAACTAAAAATTCTTATTTAACTATGTCAAATAATTTGGTACTTAAAAAAAATTCCTTCCTGACCAGTGCTTATCTTGTTTGTGTGTATGGAAGCACAAATCTCTATAGATACATCATTTTTAACTTAAACAGCTGGTGGCAGTCTAATTTTCTTGAGTCCATGGCCTTTGGAGACACAAATTTCCAGTCACTGGTTAGTCTCCAAGTAATGGGAAACCTTTTATAAAATATGGCACTTCCAGAGGAGGAGGGAGGGCTTTCCTTTAGAATAAGAAAAGTGTCTGTGGATTGTGTTTGAAGATACAATGTATGATTAATGATTGTCTATTCACTAGAAAACAGCAACTCTTACTAAGTGAAATGAAAGTGCATCAGAGTAAAATGTGGTCTGACTGAAAAAAGAACTGAGCCCAGGAAATCCAAGGACCAAGTTTTTTTTCTCAGCAGTGAAAAACAAAGGGTAGATGTATTAGGTTTAAATTTTCAGTGAAGAAGCCAGACATTTTGTTGCTTTCTATCTACTGCATAGATTGGTCCTAAACTCTGCCAAGGGTTGCATGTTGCTTGTCTGGGCTAATGAGTAAGTTATCAAAATACAAGGTATATGACAGCAGTCAAGGCATTAATGAGCAGAATTCTGAGGGCTGAGGGAGCCTTTGCAAATCCCCAAAATAGAGAGAAATCTCTGCTTGAATCAT